TAACCAAACCTTCGGGGGTTGTATATGTAATTTGCCCTTTACTTTTTAAGCGCATCTAAGATAAGGTATATTTAAAAAAATTATTAAACTATAAAAAAAAATCACAAAAACAAAAAAAGTGAATGAAAAAACAATCAGAGTGAACAATTGGTTAATAGAGATTTTTTTGAGGTATTAACAGGGATTTTTATAGACCCACCAATCAAAAATTACATATATTTTTGAAAGTACTAAAATAAATATACCTAGTGTGAACATATCAACCAAATGTGAACACAACCTGTATAGACGAATTTGCTTATGCTTTTTTCCATTTTTTTAACTAGTTGGAACGCGTGGGATCGCGTCATAGTTTGTCCAAATTATATTCTGTTTTTCTTAATTTTAAAATAAATAAAACATAGGAAAATTTACCCATAATCCTAATTTTTGAAAACGTTGAACCATTTAGTCTTAAAGTTTCTTATGCTCCATTTAGTCCCATTTCATTCAACATGATGTGAATGATGTAAAATGATATGATATTTCATTCTATATTTTCAAAATTTATTGAAATCTGATGAACATTAGATGTTTTTTCATCCTATATTTTCAAACATTATTGAAATTTGATGAACATTAGATGTTTGAAATCCAATGTTTGTAACATGACTCTGATGTTATTAACATTGTATCTGATGTTATTATACATTGTAATGAGACCTTTCAGTTTATAAAAAAATTTTTAGGACTAAACAGTGCATAAGTTATTAATTTGGGATTTATATGAATGCAATGACCACCATACAATAAAACATATCCACACATAAGAAAAATTATGCTCTATTAGAGTGTGTAATACGCAAAGCAGACACATATATTATATGAATGGTAGTAATACTAGTAACATGAATTATAGAATGTATTACTTCAAAAATGGATTGGCATAATTGAGGGACTTTTTATTGTAATGGTATAAGTCTCTCATGAGCTCTTATCTCTGCTTAGCAACTTCATTAATTAATAATAGGCACAACATAACAAGCATTCAATATCTGGCACAAACACTTGACAAAAGGAGGAAAAGGAAAGGAAAGAGATAGGTGAAATGTGAATAAAATATACCTTAATTGCAGATATATTCTCATCTTCCCAAATCTAACTAAAACCCTTGTATTCTTGCTATGCTTCCCTTACCTTCAAAATTTGTTGAAATCTGATGAACATTAGATGTTTTTCATCCTATATTTTCAAACATTATTGAAATTTGATGAACATTAGATGTTTGAAATCCAATGTTTGTAACATGACTCTGATGTTATTAACATTGTATCTGATGTTATTAACATTGTAATGAGACCTTTCAGTTTATAAGAAAATTTTTAGGACTAAACAGTGCATAAGTTATTAATTTGGGATTTATTGATGCATCCCCCTAAAACATATCCACACAAAGAAAAATTATGCTCATAGAGTGTGTATAGACAAAGATACACATATAATTAATTGTTGATAAAATACAAGAACATGTTTAGTGTACTCAAAATTGCATTGAGGGACTTTTTATTTGTTATAGTTTTGTCCTCTATTGTTAGGCAATTCTTAATTAATTATAGGCAACATAACAAGCAATCATCTCCTACAAAGTGTACCCCTACTGCAGAAAACAAACAACTTTCGCCTATGTGCTTTGTTAATGTTGCATCATCTTCTGTAGCTACAGACAAGATAACAAAGTATAATCCGTGAATAACAAAAATGCTAGACGCTCCAAAAATTCTACCAAAAGTTTTATCAAATGTCTCACATGGGTGTGGAACCCACACAATGTGGGTCCCATGTGGGTCCCACAGCCATGTGAGACATTTGGTAAAACTTTTGGTAGAATATTTGAGATCTCTAGCATTACTCCGTGAATAAAGTGGGAATTACTTCTAATAGATATCAGTTTGAGAAAAGGAAAATATTGCATCCCATGGTGGTTGAATACACCCAAATATACAATCAGGTAAAGAAACTAATCAAATTTCCTACCAACAATGACCAACTCACTCATATTTTTCTACGTTGAAAAAGAAAAAAACACCTCTTTTAAGGGCTTGGGGTGGCACCAGAGGGTGTGGAGGGGTTGGTGTATTTTAACTGTAATTGATAATACCTTTGCTTTCAATTTTGTATTTATATATTCTTTTTTTTTCCCTTTAATGTTACGACAGTAAAACTGAAGCTGCATACTAGGAGGTTATTGTTCTGAAAACACAAGAGGAGCTTATCTCAAAAGAAGCCCACCCGCTAGGCATCCCAATAAGGAGTCATCCTCTTTCTTCCAGCCTCAAAATAGTTGTGGGAAACGCACCAAAAAATAAAAAATTTAACATATCAGCAAATTACAAATTAAAAATAAAAAAATAAAAAAATTCACCAAGTAAGTGAGCAAGTAAACATAAACAAAGAGAATAAAAATTTGCACATAAGCAGTAACAATTGGCTTAGTATAAATTGAGGAATAGTTCTCTATTTGTAGATGCATACACGCATATATCAATTGAGGATTTGTTATGCATTTGTAAATAGAAATTGATTTTTGGATGATGCACACACAGTATGACCCGCTACAAAGACAAACAGCTATGTATTTTTAAGTTTTTTAATAGTTGGGCGAAGGTCATCTGCTGATACTTTTGATTGCTAGTAGTTACAATAATGCCACTTTATTAATGGTTAAGACATCAACAAATTTTCTGGTGCATATTAGCAAACAGGTGGTGTGCATCATTTACATATAAATTAAATTAATGGAAAAGAAGGACATGGAAACCACATGGCGGCACATCTCGAAAGACAAACATGGAAACAACTGTCTACATAAAAGATTGTTCGGTAATCTCGAGTGGGTATATATTACTGTGTGAACTGACTGGCTGCATTGCCTGTCGAAAATAGGAGGAGCTCTTGCAAAGGAAGATGAAACACCCCCAAAGAAGGACCACCGTTTGCAGAAATTGAGGCAGATCAAACCTCCGTTCATCTTGGTATTTTAACGTCGATGTTTTTAAAGTCATCACCGAAACAGAGACCTTCAAGATTGTGGCCTCCAATTGGTTGGTCAATCGGTGGTTACAGGTGTTGAGCATTGTGTTGTTTGTTTTCAAACAACTTAAGCAACCATGCATGTGAAGACATAGATATGAATCACAGCCTGGACAAATTACAATAAAAAATTATTTACAGGGCAACTTGTGGTTGGCTACTCCAGCGGTTATGGCTTGTGGTGCATCTCTTGGGACACTTGGATAGACCATAAGCAAACACATTATCTGCCTATTTGAATAGAGATAGAGATATGGGCAACAGAGGTGGGATTGCAATTATCTATTAGTTAGTGGACAGTTTCGAGAATATAAGCAGCCACCCAGGGGGATTGTTGAAGTGGTAGATTCAATTCACCTGTCTATTTAGGTAGCTGTTCTTGGGAAATTTTCACCTAAATTAAGTAGGTTCCTAACAAACGGACAACAACGTTACACAATCTTTTACACTACTCTTATTCTTTTTATATATGTTGTAGATATGTCAAATTTTATCATTTTTTATTTATTTTTTAATTATTATCATTATTATTTTCATTTAGTATACACTTGCTCGTATAGATTAAGGGTATAATTAGTTGCACAAAAAAAGTGCAAAGAGATCCTTATACGTGGAGTAGTTATTGGTTGGTTTTGGAATATTGTTACGTTGTAACGCCTCAAAATTTACCCAACATAATCTTGATACATCAATCGACATTCACTAAAGAATAATGGCAATTCCCAAATCATCATAACATTGATCATAGAAGTTTGTACAAAATAGTCTCACATACGAATTATACATTCAATGATATTACATACATGAATTTATAGCATGTGGAGCATCAAATTCAAAAGTAAATAAAATGCCCTAAAAGGGCTTACAAATTCCAAGGCTTAAGCCCAGTTATACAAAAATAGTCTCTCGAACTCAAACAGTTATAGCCCTAGGCTTACAACATATAATCACAACAAAACAGAGCCTTGTGCTCTATATACATATATCCCAGTTCTAGATTGACGAGTTCACCACGTCTTTTCCTGCATCAAAATCCCATAGGGGTGAGCATAAAGCTCAGTAGAGAATCATTAACAAAGTATATACATTTATGCAAGATTCCTAATATGAAATGCAAATGTCATGCTATGCCAAAGAAGATTACATTTTTCATCTTTTGAAAACTACCATACTCAATGATAATTTGAGATCTCAACAATTCAGAAATTTACAATTTATTTCAGAGGGGTGGTAAATACGATTCAAGTAATTCTTAGGTTGGTGTCTGCAAGTAGGCCTAACTAGCACTACCAAAACCCCTCTAACCGGTTGTTAATCAGAAGGGAAGTGATACCTCCTCCGCGCATTTTTTCAGTCTTTCACCTAGGACACTTAGGCCAACTTAATCAATTTCATCTACACCTCATATTCGGACTTACCAACGTATTTACCCTAAAACATTTCAATAATTCTTCTTTCAAAATATTCTTTTCTCAATGTAACCGTTTTCAAACTCAATTCAAAATGTATAATGATCAATTGAATTCGTATATAATGCAATAATTAACAATGACTCATAATATTTCTCCATTTTTTAAGTATCTCAATAATAATACGATAATAACCACATTCCCATTTTCCTTCCTTCAATGTTATTTCACAAAATACCACATTTTTAATTGAATCTATCAACATGTAGCAACATTTCCACATTTAGTACAATTCTCAACATTTTAGTCATTTCAAAACTATATGCAATGTTTTAAACATCAACTTCCAAAATCACAATTTTCATACTTCATGAAACTCAACAATTTGCCATTTTATAACTACATATATATATGCATTTAACAATAAATTCGAGTAAGGTCTCCAAATCCTCATACATCAAGAAGTTGCCATATTTGCTAATAACAATATGAAATTCCCACTCACTCCATTTAACCCAAGAAAATCCATAATTTCTCAACATTTTCCAAAAAACTCCAAATTTTTAGGTTTTTCACCAAAACTAGACATTTCTTCATTTCTTAGTAAAACCTCACTAAAAACATCATTCTTAAGCCAACGTGATTCAACTATTCAAGAAAATCTTTAAAAGATACAAAAGATGAATTCCTTTTACAAAGTCACTAATTTCTTGAGCTAAAAACCAATTTTCAAAACAATCAAAGAGGAACTCTCAAAATCAACAAAAAACTTGCAAAACATATATATAACTCTAAGAAAATCTCTATCTCAAGTTCTTGAAGAAAAAGAGATGAAAGCCCCAAGATCAACGATGATGAAACCCGATCTTCACCGCACACAATAAAGCTCTAGCTTAGCTCTCCAACTTTAATCAAGGAATCAAGGTCAAAATGTTTGAGGATTTGGAGAAATCAAGGATTTAGTTGGTGTTGATGTAAGAAATATAGAGAGAAGGAGGAGAAACAGATTTTTAGAGAGAGAGAGAGAGTGTATAAAATGTTATACACTCAGCCCAAGGAAGAAAGAAAAAGAAAATTTTCGGACACAGCGACTCCCACACGTGCGGCACTCACTCCCGCCCGTACAGTCCTCATCCCCGCACGTACGGCCCTCTTAATCCGTACGTCCTTCTGCACCTGCATATAATGCAGTGTGCTAGCCAGAATTCCTCAGATTGCCGCACATGCGGCCTCTCTCCCGCACTTGCATTCTAAGCCCCCATACGTGCGGCCTTGGTCCTCCAGCCTAGAATTTTCTTGGATCAATCCCTGGCACTCCGGATTGAACCCTTACCCTCCAAAACAAGTGAAATTCAACATCGGAATAAGAACAAAGTTTTGAGAAAAACTCCTGAACACAACAAACCCAAACGATTAACAAAGATTCTAAGTCAAAACGACACCCCAATCATGACCAACCTAAAGTTAAAGGAGGGAAAACAAAATGAGCAGCACACTCGGTCATCACATACGTGATATCCTAATAAGGTTGCGATTGGTGGAAGAAATGAGACTCACAAATTTGTGTTAAGTGATTAACAAATATGAAAGAATATAATAAATTGTGATTGATAAGTGATATGATCACATGACGCTCCTGAAACCACCAATAATTTTTCTTACAGGTGAGTATACCTGTTTTTCTTTTTTTAAATTGGATGTGTGAGTGCACTTTGTGATTTTAAATTGTTAATTTTAAGTGTCTGCCAATTAATTATCCATGTAAAAGGTAGATTGATCAAATATTAATAGTTATATAATTGGATCACATTTATATTTTTAAAAATAAAAGCTTATTCTCAAAATCATATCAAATGAGTAATAACATTTAATTAATTTAATTTTTTATATAAATGATCTACTCAGAAGACACTAAAGTAAGGGTTCGTTTTGGATGTGGGTTGACTTTTTAATTTTTTTGACTTTTTGACTATTTTAGCCTAGGCTAAAAAGTCTCGTTTGAGATAAATTTTTTGACTTTTTTGACTTTCGTGAGAGAAAAAAATAAAATAATTATGGTTTGGATGTGACATTTTGTCTTATTAGACTAAAAAGTCTATTTTGTCTTTTTGTAATTATTTTAACCAAAAAGCCTAATTTTTGTTTATGCCAAACAAAGGCTACGAATGACAATTTTCACAACTCTGCTCTAGCATCCCAGCCCTTGCCCGGATGAAGAAGTGATGTGGGGTGGGTTTTTCTCTTCTCCCCCCCCTCTCTCTAGATTATATTTATTTATATCTAATATAATTCAATTTTTTTGAAATAAAATAAGATAAGAAGCCAAACACTATATCATATTTACAAATAATTTTCACTTCTTTATTTATCATCTTATATATTTTAATTCTCAATACTTATAAATCATTATTCGTAATACATCATATAATCTCTCTTTTTTATTAGTGACGTCGTTCCTAAGGTTATAAAATTAATCCATACATTCCCACTCTGTCCTACCCTAACGACCTCTCGATTTGTCATGCCTATAAATAATTTGAGATGCGATGGAACACTAGAAACTTTCCCTGCCCCAAGAAGATGAATAATTTGAATTATTAAGGTGAACCCACAAACTTTCAACTGAACTCTCCAACCCAATTATTGGACTGAGGAGAAGTCTGGTCGATACTTATGCTTAAAATAAATTTGAAACACAAATTTATTATTTTTTTTCGTATTTTTAAAATATTTTTTATAAGTTAAAGTCATGTTAGAAGGTATGATACCAAGATTGGAGGTGAGTGCTCCGACACACCATGAGGTATGTTTCAATTATATTTTAATGATCTAAATTGTTTATATTATAGGGTTCGCTGAGGATATTATTCATATTAAAAATGAAATTAATCGGACAAGTATAACCTCATTAGCAAGTCAAATAATAACCCTAAAAAATTAATAAAATTATGCTAATAATTTATTTTTCTATACATAAGTGTAGTCTTGTTGTTAGTTAAATATGTCGAATTAACTTGAATTTTTTTATGGATGATTTACTTGACAAACCTTATACTAACGAACAATTCAAATTATTTGAAAAAATTCAAGACATATCTTTATGGACTCACAACCCAGTGATATACCTATAAAGGACAACACCAACCTCATCCCCTGCATACCCTCATGGTTCAAAGGAAGTGTTATTATCACTCGCATTTGCATTAAATTAACAAGATTATAAAGTGTCATTAGGTTGAGTTTTGTTGCTGTAAAGTGATGTGTACTCCATTTTACATAATTTCTTTATGTTACTTTTAAAAAAATATGACCTAACATTATAGAAAATTGTCTTAGATGTATTATTTTTGAATTTCTTCTTTTGATTTCATATTTTATTCATTTTCTCACTATATTCTCACTTTACCAAAATTATGTTTCCTTGGAGAACTCAATCTCATAATTGCAAGTTTTACATTTTCATTACATAACTAAAAATATTGAAAATACATGATTAATTTATGACTACAACAAAACCTTTAACTCCATTGCATTTGATAAAAAAAAAAAAAAGCTCTTAATTAAACAGATGTAGACTGGGTCATAGCTAGCCCAATAGCACCACTTGTTTTGGATCCAATTTTGCTCAGATAACATATTGGTTTTGGATAGATTGGAATGTAAAATGGGCTAGTAGATAGGCATCTGAAATGGGCCCGTCTGGCCTAGTCTAAACATTGTTGGGCTGGGTTTTCAAAAGCTAATACACACGCAGCTTTTAGATTCGTTTGCGGGCTGACCGGAAAGTGAAAAAGTGGAGTGAGAAAGAGATAGCGGCTAATCCAACAGCAGCATCCACTATCAGAGATCTAGATCCCAACCTCAAGATCTTCCCAACTCAGGTATCTCTCTCTCTCTCTCTGTATCACATTTCAATTCGGTGATTTGTTTCTGCGATTTAATGTCATTTTTAACTTGTTTTCGTGCTTAATTGCTGTTTCATTCAGTTCATCCTTTTGATTCCTTCGTGACTCTGTATGAATTCATTTTTGTTATTTGTACATTTTAACTTCACTGTTAATTGGAATGGTTTTTGTGGATTTTTTGTGTGGATCTGTGACCAGAAGTAGAAGTTAAGTAGTGATTTAGTTCTATGCAGTGCCTTTTTCTAGACTGAAAATTCAGTGCAATGGTGGTGCCGAATGCATCACCGACACTTGTTATCACTGTTTATAAACTACCATGAGTGCATAATGAACTTCTTTTTTCTTTTCTTTTTTGATAACCGGGTGTCCAGGCTTGTTTATACGCACTTCTACTAATCCCGGGATCAATCCCACCGCCATGTGCGTTTACCCGATTTAAAGCCAGAGCAAATACCCGACTGGTCCCAAAGAGCTTATTGGGGCTAGTGAGGATTAAACCTATGACCTGGAATTAGCACACCTCCAGATCCCAAGTTGTACGGGCTAGTGAGTATTAAACCTATGACCTGGAATTAGCACACCTCTAGATCCCAAGTTGTGCCCACTAGGCCAATTTACTATGAGTGCATAATGAACCTTACTATGCATATGTGGTGGTTTTTGAATTTGGTAGTTACATCTAGATAGCAGGGTTTACTATACCATATGGTGGATTATTATTTGATGGCGTGTTGGTAATGACTTGGTTTCTTCTGGGTAGTCAATTTTTACTCCGGTTTTGGCTGCATTTATTCATTTTAGTTTGACCTTAGGCGTCTGAATGTTAAAATTGCGGGTACGTATGTATTTGAAAATCTTGAGATTTTGTCTGAGTAGAGCCACACCCAATACTTATACTCGAGTCCATACAACATAGGCCCTACCTAATCATGATTTTAGGGTGTGGTAGCTAGTTTTTCCCTGATGCAATTGCTTTTCATTGAAACATTTTTATAGGGTTATAATTGTCAAACACGGAACTATAATTGTCATACATTTGACTCTCCCCATACCGTGCATTAATGGAGCCTCATTCACCGGGACTTACCATACTTGTCAAGCATTTATGGAAATATAAGATATAACAACTGTAGTTAATTGATTGCTTCCTAGTCACTTGATAATGCTGGTTAATAATTTGGACATATTTGTCCGAAAGATAACTTTTCATTATAACGCTTATTCTTGGGGGAAACCAGATGATCCTATTTCCCCCCCTACACTTGGTTACTCAATAATACACATATTATATGCCTAGACTAGATATATGCCAAAGCCAAATGAGATGTGTCTGAACTTCATTGTTCTATGTTTTTTGTTATTAGTAAATTATCTTTAAAGCCTCATCTGGACATTGGAAGTTGAGGAGGATTCACTTTTCATTAAAAAAATTTCCTGAAAAACATGTCAAGCATTATCAGTATATAATGTTATACACCAAAACAAAACTGACTGTTGATTTTTCCCTGTTTCTCGCTATCGTGCACCATTCATGATCGAAATTTTATTTTATTTTTCTAGTTTCTCCAGCAAGTAGGATTTGATGCACTCTGTCTTCTTTTAGTTTCTCCAGTAAATAGGATTTGATGCACTCTGTCTTCTTTTTAAATTTTATTTCTAATTCACTAATTACAGGTCTTCCAGGCATACTACTAACAGAATCATGTCAAGAAGGCCCTCCCGACGTCTCGCAGATGGTGGGAATATTTCATTCATCAGCTCTTTGCATTCCAAAACAAGCTCATCGCCTTTATTATCTCTTGGACTTGTGGTTGTGGTAAATCTCAATTCCCCCTTTACTCTGCACTGGTTGCTCCACAGTTTCTGTCCCTTGTCATAATTATATAGTCATACAATTACATTAACAACCGGAGCTTATCTTTTTTGATAAGCATGTACAATCAGCAAAATTTTCATTTTTTAACTTCTCAATTGATGCCTCTGTCATAAAATATTAGAACCCAGGGTTTACACTTTTATTATATTGGCTTAAGTTTAGTTGTTATAAAGCTGATTTAAATTGTTTTTGGATTTTCAGGGTTCATTTCTTGTTATTGGATATCTGTACAGTGGTTCAGGTCTGCATTTGGTCTGTCAACTTGAATACTCATTACTAAAAAGAAACGAGCCAAAACTACTGCTCTATCTCCCCATGGGTTGCTCTATTTTTTGTTTTCTTCTTGCTGCCATAGGAAACCCAGGGTGAAGAGTTAATTTGTATCTAGTTTTCTTACTTATTTTTCTGAACATCTAAGTTCTTGAATCACAGGTGGATCTAGGAGTGATATAGAAGCTGCAAGTAAACTTGAAGGTGAATATCTGTTATTGCTAAGTATAGTTTGGTATATAAGGATGCATAACCTAGAGCTTTATCATTTTGTCCTTCATTTAGAGAGATCTGAAGAGTTTGATTGGAGTTAAAAGATATGTTTGTTGGACTTTTGGGTAGTGACCCTAATCCCCATGCTTGGGGGATGGCAACCTTATTTTCTAATAATTAAAGGCAGAACATTGTCTATGCCAATAAGAAATCTAATTAAAGGAACATTTAGAGATTCAATAATGAGTTATTATGTTTTCTGTAATAAGCACCCATACTTATTGTCAAATCACCATTGCAGTTTGATGTTTATTTCTTACTCAATCAGCCATCAGCCATCATTTTGAAACTTGTAATTTGCTTATGCCATATCATCACAGCTGCTTTTTATTCTGTAGTAGAATTTTACTTTCACCCTGCTCTTGATTATGTATTTAGGGTGGACACCTGGCTTAAGTGATACTCACATTATATATATATATTTGGTTAAGGAAGCAATAATCTATGTCTCAGTTTCCTCTTGATATTTGAAAGTTGTTGACTGCAAAAGTTCATTTGCACAATTTTACTAGATGGCTTGGATTGCTTATATATGGAGGATTTGATTTAGGGACCTAATCTAGACTGTGTAGTGTAAAGATGTGATCATACTGAGGCAGGACAAGCTTATGTGTGCAATGTTTTAAGGAGACATTTTGTTGCTTTTACAGCTTCTGTGATTTGGCTTCCCAAATTAATAGAAAGAAAATATGATTGATTCCCGTGCTGATGTAAACCATGTTATATGGACTCGGGTATGAGCATCAGGTGTGGGTAAATGTCCAAGCATTGGATCTTTCTAAACCTAAATCCTAGGATATTGGAATATGCATCCCAAAGTTGGGTATGGGTACGGGTACATGTTTTAAATAATTATATATATTGCATATTGTATAATTTTTTAAAATAAGATGTTATGAATTATTTAGAAATGTACTTCAAATTAAATGGAATTTAGGGATAATTTGAAATTTATCTCCCAGCCGCGTGAGAAACTAGAAATGTTTCTATACTAGAAAATGTGAGCATCTTTTTCTTTAGATATCATATAAATTAGAAGATCCAAATGTCTAATTTGGGTGTGGGTTTCAGACTCATATCCCACATTTGTAACCTTGTCATATCCGGCAAGCACGGGTACATTGGAGGAAATAGAAGAGTTTGTAGTTCAGGATGTAAACTACTACTAAACCTCTTGTCAGGATATTGGAAGTGGACCTAATGGTGCCTTCTTTTTATTGTTTAATTTTCTCCTCATATAGTACTAACTGCATTGTAGGTTAGATAGAGCAACATTTCCCAATTTAAAGAGACTATTTACATATATGCAGGTGGTGTTTCATGCACAGTAGAAGTTCAGAGAGCATTGCCTTTTCTGAAGAAAGCATATGGTGACAGCATGCGTAAAGTATTGCATGTAGGCCCTGAGACTTGTTCGGTGGTCTCTAAATTGTTAAAAGAAGATGATACTGAAGCATGGGGCGTGGAACCGTATGACTTGGATGATGTTGACGGAAACTGCAAAAGTCTTTTGCGCAAAGGCATTGTGCGGGTGGCTGATATCAAGTTTCCTCTACCCTACCGGTCAAAATCATTTTCTCTTGTCATAGTGTCAGATGCATTAGACTATCTCTCTCCAAGGTACCTTAACAAGAGTCTGCCAGAGTTGGCGAGGGTATCTGCTGAAGGTTTTGTTGTTTTTACAGGTAAATACCTTGAAAACTACATTTTTATATACCATTGAAAAGTTTCCATAATTACGCATTGCTTACCTGACTAGGCCATGAAAAAGAAAGGGTAAATTGCACTAACCTCTCTTGAGGTTTGGAGGAAATACAGCAAGCCCCACAGTTTTGGCATAACTACATTAGGCTCCCTTAAGGTTTTAATTTACACAACACTTAGTTCAAATCAAACCAAACCAAGCCTTAAGTCTCATCAAATGTGGTCGGCTAATGTAGATAGTGATATGGATGGAAAAATGATGTTGTAATCTTTTATACTAAAATATATATTTTTCCTTATACGTGTCTCTTCACACTATCTGCATTAGTTTTGATCCTTGTAGCCTTACTAAAAGGGAGGTCGGTGTAATTATGCCAAAATCGTGGGTCTACTTTGTATTTTTTCCAAACCTATTACAAAGGAAGCAAAAAATGAAGAAAAGAAAACTAGAAGCTGACTGGGCCATAAAATTTGTTTTTGTCTATTTGTTCTGACCAATGGAGAACATGTTTTCATTGATGATGTTAGTTGACATTTTGAGTTGCTTAGAGTTTGTGTAATTGCATTTTATAAAGCTTTGTTCATAAATTTAACTGAATTCTATCCCAGATGATGTTCTCATTTTTATAACAAAGCGTAATCTTTTAATGTTTTGCCAATTTGTTGTTGCCGGACATAGGTTATCCAGGTCAGCATAGAGCTAAAGTGGCCGAGCTATCCAAATTTGGTCGTCCAGTAAGTGAATAAATTTTGTTGGATTTCGACTCCTGGTTTTAAGTTATTGATGGGCCTTTTTATTTGCAAATGTGTTTGTGATAGTACTCATTGGTGTCTTATTGACTCTTGATTTTTATGATTGGACTCTTAAATGATAGTACCCATTGATGGCACAATAAGATCAGTATATGATCTAAATGAGTTAATAGAACTGCATTTGGTATGTCTGTTGAGTAGACCAATGATTGTGGAAAATTCCTGTTGGACAAATTGCATGTTCAAGTTCTAATTCTCATTTCAAAAACTCCCACAATGTCACATTAGTGTTGCTCCTACTACTATTTGAGGTTATGTTTTGTTGGTAAGTGTGTGAACAAGGGCCATCAATTAATTGCACTCAATTCGAAAAATGAGTTTTCAGAGTATTATCAGAAGTCTATTAAGTAGATGTGAATAGTTTGTGAACTAAAGTTTGTTAGATGACATAACAAAGCTGCAGGCTGGAATATTTTGGAGCTTGAATATTGTCTTTATCTGTGAGTACGTAATCATTATTGCCTACAAAAGAAATGAAAAAGGTGAAAAAAAAAATACTAGAAATTTGATATTATGGAGGATATACCATGACAGATGCACATGTGAAGAAAATATTCTGTGTCTTTCTTCGTTGAGAAATTTAAGCACTCTGAAAGATAGAGAAATCTAAGCAGAAGGCACCTTAATATTATTTTTGGAAATGAAAGCCCTAGTGATTCTGCCGTAATGATGCTTGATTTGTTAAGAACACTGGCAAGTGATGTGTGCAATCTAATAGTAGCTTCCAAAATGATGTATACTCTCATTCATTCATTTTTGTTGCATGAATGCTTCCTATTTGATGGTTAACCCTCCATTAAAAAACTACATTTGACTTTAAAAGCATAAATATCCTGCTGTCTTTTTCTTTTGAAGGCCAAGTTGCGAAGCTCATCTTGGTGGATAAGGTTTTTCGTACAGACCAGCTTGGAAGAGAATGAGGCTGCTACTAAGAAGTTTGAGCAGGCTGCAACAAAGAGATCGTACAAGCCAGCCTGCCAAGTTTTCCACCTCAAATCATACCGTTGAAAATCTCAGAATCATATGACTTGGTGAAAACAATGCCAACAAGTGACTTTACTTCCCATAGAGTTCATTTATATTTGGTGGAAATCATATATATTTTTTTTCTTTTTAAATCATGTGACAGTAAATATATGTTGGGGAAGATTGTGAATTAGCCTCTCTGCTAAGATAAGAATGTGTTGCTTTAGGTTCTTGCTCCCCAATGCCGGAGCCTGTTGTAGCTACAATTATAGGTCTTCTTAGCATGGTCAGACCCCATTGTGTAGTTTTGATTAGTATAAAGAACTAATCAGTATTTCTTTTATGATGTGGTTGAATTTTTTATTTTATTTATGAAGGGATTTGTAGAGATAAAAGAAATTGAAGAAAAAAGGGAGAAAAAAAAAATTAGCCTTTTCTTTTCACAAATCTAAGATCCAAAGAATAGTGATATTTGTCATTGATGTCTCCCTTGTTATATTTCCCATTTTGTTGTCCTGTAATTTCCAGCAAACTTGGAAGTTGGAACTAAAGAGACATGATGACCTTTACTTGCTGCTTTTATTTTGTTAGTAAATATTCTTTTACTGATTTTGTTTTCGCAGAATATATATATTTTTATGAAAAAATATATATTTTTTTAATCTTTGATTGCGTTCTCAAAATTAATAAATTAATGGTAGTGGTTATGATAACAATGGTGCAACGCCAATGGGAAGGTGGTGGGGTGGTAATATTAGTAAAATTTTATTTCATAAAATATTTTTACTTTATAAAAATAAAAAATAATTTTAATCAACATAAGCTTATTTGAGGTTTGGCCATGGAAAGCTTTTTTCAGTTTAACTTTCGTCTAGGCTTGTTTTCATTTCTTGGAGGGATAGATGAATTATGAATGTGTGTAACTATATTTTTATATTTTTAAATTTCAACTTATTCATTTCTTTCACAAGCAATCTCATGTTACTGTGATAATTTCTTTCAAACGGGTTTGACAATTTTTGTTTGGAAGGCCATGCAGACCCTCAAAAAACAGAAAAAAAAAGAAAAGAAAAGAAAAATAGAGTTTAATGAAGGTAGAGAATGAGCATCATTGAAAAATTAGTGTATGATCTAATTTCATCTTAAATATTTTGAGAAGTGAGAACCAAGTTGTAGGCCAAGTTTGGGGTGTGCTAATATGTACATTTTTTTATTATTATTATTATTATTATTTTTTTTTAATCTTTTTTGGGTTATATCACTTATGTACTTTTCTGTATATTTTTTTTTTGTAAAAAGTCAAAAAATATACCTACTTAAATAATCTCCAACCACTTTTTAGTATATTTTTTCTGCATATAGATAAATTAATTTAGTCAAAAAATTATATAAAAAAGTAGAAAATTTCTTTTTATTCTTTCTATTTTTTTTATACATATTATTAGTTTTATAAAAATCCAAAAAAATAAAAAAAATTCAATTTCCAAATAAATATTGCACTTTATTTACTTTAAGGGGGGGTTTGGGAGGATACTTTTTGGTTAAAATAATACTAAAAGATAAAATAGATTAAAATAGTCAATATAACAAAATGTCATATCAAATTTATAATCATTCTATTTTTTTTTCTCATAAACATAATATTAAATTATAAAAAAATCTAACTCTCTTCCTAAATACAACTATTTTAACTTAACTAAAATAATTAACTACTAAAATGGCCGACCTCCAAATGGGCGTGTATCCACTCCACCTGAGTGTAGAGTGTGTAAAAAATAAGTTATCCCAAACACGACCTTCGGCAGATCTTACTCTTAACAATTTCCAAGTTTACAAAACAAGAACAGGCTACTGTGCGCCGGGTCTGAGCTCCACCATACTCCATGGCAGCAAGAGACCACCACCACTACCATTCAAAGAAAAACACACCCCCCTCCTCTTCCTCTTCCTACACCTCCTTACTCTTCCTCTCTCTCCTCTGCCTCGCCTCTCTCTTCCTCGTTTTCTCTCTCTTCAAAACCTCCTCCAAGGCCTCTCTCTCTCCTCAACACCATAGAAACATCGAGTTCAATCCCTCCGAAACAAACAATCAAGTATCTTCTGATAGACGACTCTGCGATTACTCCGATGGGAAGTGGATCTACGATCCGACGGTCAGATCTGCACGGTACGACCACTCCTGTAAGGAGATATTCAAGGGTTGGAATTGCATTGCCAGTAACAAATCCAACGCTCTTGATATCGTCAACTGGCGTTGGAAGCCCAATCACTGTGATCTTCCGCAATTCGATCCTCTTCGGTTCCTCCAACGCTACAGAGATACCAATATTGGTACTCTCTCTTTCTCTTTCTTTAATTTGAAGATTATGTAATTCTTAAGTTGTTAATAAGCATTCAAATTGAGCTCTGTTTGGTTCTTGAGAAAATATAGAGGAAAAGGAAAAAGAAACCATTTTTTTAAATTTTTGGTTTTTTCTTTTGTTGCTGAGAACCCAACTTAGAATAACCAAATACAACTCAATTAACTCTATAGTAAAGGATTTTATGCAAAGTCATCTTATCACCTTTTCAATACAAATGGACTGTCATTTTGGGGAATTCTATTCACATACGATACTTTTATCTCAGTACATATCACTTGTGCAGTTCGGATATCAACTTTTCAAAAAAAACAAAATATTTGAATATCAACTTATGAACAAAAACCAATTGTTCGAACAGACATCCCGTTCAATAGTTGATATCTGAATATTTGTATTTTGTTCGGAAGTTGATAGCCGAATGGCACAAATGGGATATACCGAGACAAAGAGTGGTGTGCAAATTAAATGACCCATCATTTTGTTTATTTCTAGGGCACTCTTCTCAAGTTTGGCCTTTCCTTTAAATTGTTTGTAGAATATGTTATTTTATTTTTTTAACAAACAATTGAAACATGAAGACTAAAAATTTTGCTCTTTTTTTGTCCCTTATGTTTTCTCAGCAACCCAACAGCAGTGAAATGTTTATGTATGCACAAACTCTTTATATGGTGTAATTTTTGAGCTATTTTTTACATATTGATTATATGATTTAGGTTTCTCGTGGTTTTTTGTATACATTGTTATTATGCTGTTTGTAAACCTTATGCATCTTTAACAGTGCAGGATTCATAGGTGACTCCTTAAATAGGAATATGTTTGTTTCTCTTTTTTGTACTTTGAAACGAGTGTCGGGGGAAGTGAAAAAGTGGCGTCCTGCTGGAGCTGACCGTGGTTTTACCTTTCTTCAGTACAACCTTACTATTGCTTATCATCGGACAACCCTATTGGCGCGTTATGGTAGGTAAGCTATGTTTGCTTATGTACAATAATTATGTGACTGTTAGACGATGTCATTATCCTAAAGTTGTATTTCCTTCTTGTCTTCAATTCTCTAGACTTGGAGAAAACTATTAATTAACATATATTTTTCTGTTTGTTATTGATTAAATTGTGGAGTCCTCAATTCAATAACATTCTTCATAAACCTACCAAGAGTATTTCAATGCCAATCTTGATTGGTACAGTCACTCAGGTTTCTCCAATCAAGTCATTCTAGAATTCTATGGTAAATGGGTCAATGTCAAACATTTGAACATCTTAGCATGGTACGAAAGTTTGGCTTCTAACCTCCATTGTATATCACATGGGCTGGAGTCTGATGAAAGTGGAAGTGATGGCTTCTTGATTAGTGCAATTGTCCAGACATTTTGTGTTGGTGTTGTGTGTCCACAGAAGCTGCACAGTTTTGAGACTTGGACTTCCATGTTGTATATTTAAAACCCATTCAACACTGTTTTCTTGTTTCTTACCACATTTTCAAGGATATTTTAAAGCTTATTGTGAATGGGCCTTCTGGTTAGGGAGCTGCATAATGATTATGGAAGCATCTATTGAAGATGTTTCCCATAATGTAATGACGGTGGTTTATTTGTTAAAGACAATAATTTTGTGGGTGGATTAGCATTACTTGGAGCTGGAGTGCTCCATAAATAGTAAAAAAGGTGGCAGTCCAAGATTCCAGTTAGTAGGGTCACCTAATCAAAGAAGAAGCTTTTGGGCTACAATCTTTCAAATGTCAATGTCAAGGAAGCAGGAAGGCCTGTCCTTTGTAAGGAAATATGGTGTATATGATTGGATGAGCTAAAATAATGACATTACTTACATGTGATGGTTCTTCTATTCTGAAGAGGTGATCATTCATTGTTTATATTCTATGCAAAAACATGTTAAGCCAGTAGCCCATGTTTAGATTTGAGGAAATTTTATTGGGATGATGAAGGCTGGGTATATAATTTTGAAATGCAGACTTCACTAGCAGATCCGAATTAAATTTGTCTTATAATCCTTAGAGATATGTTATGTTGATGAGTAAATAGAATCCTTTGAGTATTGCTTGTAGAAAAGAACTTCTACATGGACAAGATTCAAGAGCACCTTTTTCATGGAATACAGAATTGTTGTTGGTATTTATTTGCAGATATGCAACTTTATACCTTTTCATTAAAATTTGATTGTTGGTTAAAAGAATCTCCATAGAGTCAAGTTTAAAGGGATCATAGTGGAAAGCTGATTTTAATGAATTTCTTCAGCTAAACAATTTCATGATTAGATGTATATTGGCGTTTATCATGGAAGTGGTGCACAACATCTATTTACCTCTTTAATGAGCTTCTTTTTGGTTGGTCTGGCTAAGACAAAAGATCACTTCTATTCTATCAAGAATGATTTACATGGGGTTGTCTAGATTTTCATTACTAATATTTTGTTCTATATTTTTAAATATTTTTATCCTTTGTTGTTGTTAATATGCTCTAAAAGTCCAAAGTAGATTCCACATTTTCATCTCTTTTCACACGACTGTTTCATTTGTATTTTCTATAGGTGGTCAGCCAACACTAATGGTGGTGTGCTAGAATCTCTTGGATATAAAGAGGGTTATAGAGTTGATGTTGATATTCCTGAAGGAACATGGGCAGAGGCTATGAGTTTCCATGATATCCTCATCTTTAACACGGGACACTGGTAATTTTACTTACTTTTTGGACCCCTATGTAATGTTGAACATATTGGTGACTTGAAAATATGGGATCACTTTATCTTTTGCTTTATGAATGTTGCTAATGCCTATGTCTTGCTTAGTGCTTAAAAATTTGAGTTGTACATATATGGTAAAAGAAGAATAGTTTATAAAGGAGTGTCTAGTCTCCAAAACCCCAGACTCAAAGAAAGGACTTCATTCTATGCTATGCTATGTCCCCAGTCAGGCCCACATAAAGATCTAATGCATGTGCCTTTTAGAGGCTCAAAAAAGGTGTGGTTTTTATTTTTTGTTTCTGAAGATAATAATCCAATCACATCTTTATCTTTATGTTTTCAATGAGCATGCCTTGTAGAGGCTCCCAGATCAAGAAAGATGTGGATATATATATTCAAAATATATATAATCTAGTTACATCTTATATCATATTCGTGGTCTTATAGATAAATAAAAATAATATATTTTTAATCATTTTAAGTACTTCGTATTCTAGCTTTAAGAGTTTATGGTTGACTGCTTCAATTAGAAATTTCTAGCCCTTAATCGTTAGCATTTAGTTATTCAATATATATACATAAATGCGACAACTAGCTTTTACTAATTGATTTAGGTACTGTAAGGCACTGGCTCAAAAGCCTGATTTTCTTCGGGGTTTTAGTCTAAAAGAGTCAATTTTTTTTTCTTTTTACTTCTGCGAAAGCCACAAAAGTAGGCTTATAAACTGATGCCGAGCAATACCTAAGTTGATGCATATACCAATTGAAAAAATTACATATTGATTTATCTCTCTTAGTTTATATGTTAAAAAATATCTTTTTCTAAGTTACATGTTTGAAATTGCTTTCAGTTGGAGGTTGTAACTGTGGGTATTGATTTTCGATCACACTGCCAACTCAGTTTTCAACTGGAGAGCACTGGCAGAATAGATGACACCTGATTGACCTGCAACAGAAAGCAGAGACTCTGGCGGTGGTTCGTCCACCCGGGGGTATTCCGACGATCAAGTCAGTACTCAATATCTCTTAAAGATAACCAATAGTGCTTAACTCACTAGACAGAATATCAAAAGCATACCTTAGACCCATGGGGGTGCCTCTCTTTTATAGCCAATACAATCCTAGTCCCAAATAGAAGCCTAGCTCTAATGGGCTTAGGATTTATTGCTAATCTTGGACTCCCAGTAGAATTAGGATAAACTCTCTAAGAGTCTCATCTTTACCCAAAATGAAGTCTTATTTCATTCTAGGACTTTTGTGTTTTATCCGCTTATCTCGGATTCTGATATCTTCGGAGATAACCTCGGCCTTGCCGAGATCACCTCGGCGTCATGACCAGGACACGTGGCACCTCGGCTGACACGTCGGCGTCACCCTGGCACGTGTTGGTACTCAGAAAATATATCCCCACAACTGTCTCCTAGGTTCTATTACCTTGGCATTCTGAGGTGATGGAACCTATATCATTTCTTCCATTTAGTATGTCGGCTAAGCTCGCTTCATCATCTATTGTCGAAGTTAGAACTCGTTGGCTCAATATGACCAAGACCTATAGTCTGCTTTCATCAATGCCTTATAACCAACGACCAAGTTCGTTCAAGTTTCTCAGCCGAAACCGTCCTTCTTTGCAATCGTCTTGGGGTGATGCACCTCGGTTGTACAAACTGATGTTTTACCTCGGCAAGTACCCAAGTACTTAATTTGATACAACCTTAGCCCTGACTTGTAAATTTATCACAAATTTCAACAAGTACAAGACATATCCTTTGTCTTACTTCAACTTGTAAATTTTTCTCAAGTTTCAATCAGTGTTAAATAATGATCTTGGTTTAACTTCAACTTGTAAATTGTCCACAAATTTCAACAAGTGTTAAACAATGATCTCCGTTTAATTTCAACTTGTAAATTGTCCACAAATTTCAACAAGTGTTAAACAATGATCTCGGTTTAACTTTAACTTGTAAATTGTTCACAAATTTCAACAAGTGTTAAAGAATAATATCGGTTTAACTTCAACTTGTAAATTGTCCACAAATTTTAACAAGTGTTAAATAATGATTTCGGTTTAACTTCAACTTGTAAATTGTCCACAAATTTCAACAAGTGTTAAACAATGATATCGGTTTAATTTCAACTTGTAAATTGTCCACAAATTTCAACAAGTGTTAAACAATGCTCTCGGTTTAACTTCAACTTGTAAATTGTCAACAAATTTCAACAAGTGCTAAACAATGATTTCGGTTTAACTTCAACTTGTAAATTGTCCACAAATTTCAACAAGTGTTAAACAATGATTTCGGTCTCTTGTTTGTTGGAATCTAGGATCTGCTCACTTTAGGCTGAGCTCTTCTCTTCTCGGACCTAATCATCTAGGTCGAGACTTTGTCTTTTGGAATCTGGGATTTGCTCACTTTAGGCTGAGCTCTTCTCTTCTCGGACCTATCATCTAGGCCGAGATTGTGTCTTTTGGGATTCTCCATGCCCGACCTCCCGCGAAGGCCGGTGAGAATGTCCCTTGGTCCCGCCATGCTGAGGGACTGCAGGAACCGTTTTCTGCCCCCCTGCCTGGGCAGCTTTCTTGGCTGCTGGAATCGACGTATCTTGTAACAGAAACGGTGGCTGCATGACGTTGTTCTGTATCATGAAATTGACAACCGTTTGTAGGTTCGCCAATTTGCGCGCCCTTCCCTTCATCTCGTCGTCCCTTCGTAAGCATCTTTCTTTCCATACCTGGAGGTCGTCCTCGTTTATAATGCTCGCTTCGGTCTGATTTCTTCGGCACGGCGCCCTCCTGGCCGACGTCCTCTTCTCTGTGATTCTTATCACGAGTTTCTTCGTTGTAGTTGTCTTCTTCGACGCCAAGGTCAATATGTTTCCCACTCTCAGTAGGGGTGTCGTCCCCAACCTTCTCTTTCGGTCTGTCGTTAGCCATCTATTTTCCTTTCGTTCCTATAGATGGCCCCAAATTGTGGGTGCTGATTTTCGACCACACTGCCAACTCAGTTTTCAACTGGAGGGCACTGGCAGAATAGATGACACCTGACTGACCTGTAACAGAAAGAAGAGACTCTGGCGGTGATTCGTCCACCCGGGGGTACTCCGACGATTAAGTCAGTACTCAATATCTCTCAAAGATAACCAATAGTGCTTAACTCACTAGACAGAATATCAAAAGCATACCTTAGACCCATGGGGGTGCCTCCCTTTTATAGCCAACACAATCCTAGTCCCAAATAGAAGCCTAACTCTAATGGACTTAGGATTTATTGCTAATCTTGGACTCCCAATAGAATTAGAATAAACTCTCTAAGAGTCTCATCTTTACCAAAATTGAAGTCTTCTTCCATTATAGGACTCTTGTGCCTTATCCACTTATCTCGGATTCCGATATCTTCGGAGATCACCTCGGCGTCATGACCAGGACATGTGGCACCTCGGCTGACACATCGGCGTCACCCTGGCCACGTGTTGGTACTCAGAAAATATATCCCCACAGTAACTATATTTAATATATATGCCTGTCGCACATTCACCTTACTTCACTTGGGCGAGTGCTTTATGTTGGATGGCTTGCACCTTTCGCTTAGGCATGAGACCTTGGCATCTTAGTGCGCATTGAGTCTTAATCTTAACAACTATGGGTTGCCCTTGTAAATTGTCAAAGCAGGGCAGTATGAATCCTACCCGTTTGGAGAGAATTCCTCTCCATTGGTTTCCACATCCTTCCTGTTGGGGGGTCCAAGTGATTGTCACATTTTCTTGCTGCTATTACATCAAGCACTCACACCCAATGAGGGACTAGAACCCCACATAAGTGAGATAGGAGCCCGTATTTTTTAGTACAACAATTTTTATCATTTGCCAAAGTTCCCTTTTTCGTCATTAATTGTCTCATAGCAATTGCTCATATTGATATTTTGAATTAATTTATGTAGGTTGATTTTTCCAACTCATTATTTGGCTTCTTGGTTCTTGTTGCAGGTGGTGGGCTCCTTCAAAGTTTGACCCTGTAAAATCACCCATGCTTTTCTTTGAAAATGGTTTGCCTGTGATGCCTCCAGTACCTCCTGATGTTGGCCTTGATATGGTTTTAAAACACACGGTATGGCATCATTCTACTATTACAAAATGTTCTGTAAATTTTATTAATTCATGTATGCTTGTCAATATGTTGTAGAGTGGGCAGGCTTTCAAGTCCATGCTTGTCCAGTACTAGAACTTTCCCTATCTGAAGTTTTGAATAACAACAAAATGTGTTACTGTTGTATAACTGTTCAAATGGCATAAACAGATTTGCTTTTCCAAACCCAAGTTTTTTAAAACAGTCGTTACAAATTGATTTGTTAATACATTTGGAATCATTTTAAAAGCTGCTATAAGTTTCACTGATTGAAGGCTAATAATATTAATATTATCTTATAGTGGAAAAGCCTAAGTGATAAGTAGATGATCAAGAGTTGAATAAAAAAAAGGTGGCCAATCAATATAAAAAATAGTGCAGATATAAATATATTTATCATATCACAACATTTGGTTACTCAGGTAATTGTTTAATGGTGCAGGACCTGATGATCTGTGTCTGCAGATGGTCAATGCTTATAAGTGTTAGGATCAGATAACGTGCACCATCTATTTTGATTTTCTTGTGAGAGTTCAATCCTTTTAAACATCAGGGTGAACCAGATGGTCCAAATCCCCTAGTGTTCTAGTTGTCTCCACGTTGAGTTCTTATATGGGCTTATGTTTGTTTGTGCAACATGTTTGGCACGTGTGTGAGATTGGGTGTCCTTGTTCAGTTCTGAATATTCAGAACTAATTTTATTTTTATTGCATTGCTCGCATTAATTCCTGATAGGAAAAATGCTGGATGCCCATGCTAATATATTAAAAAATCAACTTTGTTAATGTGCATATATGAATTTTAATTGACAGACATCATATGTGGAGAGAAGAATGAGACCAAGTGCAATTTTATTTTTTCGTACACAATCCCCTCGACATTTTGAAGGAGGTGAATGGGACCAAGGTGGTTCTTGTCAGCGGTTACATCCTCTGTTGTCACAAGAGGTAAATCTCCATTGCACACTTGAAAGAGTTTATCAAATGTCATAGTTTTCCGATTTGAGTGGAGATTGCATTGTACAAAACATATTTGTCTGTATCATTTCACTTGCTTTCTGCAGCATGTAATTTAACAGTTAGGTTTTGGGTTACCTGTGTGCTTTCAGGTTGAAGAACTTTTCTCTCTGAGAAATAATGGAACAAATGTGGAGGCACGCCTTGTGAACCAGCACTTGTACAAGGCCCTCAACCGCTCTGGTTTCAATGTATTGGACATAACCCGCATGAGTGAGTTTAGAGCAGATGCCCATCCATCCACAGCTGGAGGAAAGAAACACGATGATTGTATGCACTGGTGCTTACCGGGAATTACAGATACTTGGAATGACTTGTTCATAGCCTATCTAAACAACATCAAGGGTCGAAACTGAGAGCTCACAATTCATTCTTACCATGAAATTGCCCCCTTTTTGTTTGTTGGAAATTTGTTTTTTTTGTAAGCGCACATGTGGGGTTGGAATTGATAGCTTAGATTTGAGGTTGACTGCCGCACATGTTCTTTTGTACTATTAACCATTTTTTCACAAAAATTTAGAATGACAATCCCTCACGGAAGTGCAGCCGTGCTTGTGATCATATCAATACGAAATTATTCATTTTCTGGATCTGGAGTGAGCCAGTGGGTTGTGTAAACTTTGCGTTAATTTCCTGAAAATATGAAATGGGATTAGAGAGGAGGTAGATTAAGAAAGAAATGAGACTGCCAAATTATAATCCTATTGTTTTTATTTTTTGTTAAATTTTTGACTGATAAAAAATAGAAGAATACACCTTGTGTTGAGTTTGCAATAGTGAATAGTCCCTTAATTCATCACCCTCCCACTGCTGTAGGTACCTAGAAAAAAATATTCAGAATTTTATCTAGAAAAATAGATTCTACCATACAACAGTCAAAATTTTCAATATATATATATTGAGTAAAAAACTTCAGGATTACAATAGAGCAGTCATAAAACTATTACGTTAAAATGTAAGAGAATTTTTGTTTGGAGTAATAGGGAGGGGATTGTGTTTTGTAGTAAGGAGGGGATTGAGAATGGGGTGTTTGTTTTGAGAGATAGGGAGGGGATTAGTAATCCCTTGGTATTAGTAAGGAGGAGGAAGGGAGATTAGTAAGGAGGAGGTAGAGATGGTATTAGAAAAATAATGAGGGGATTAGAAATTTTTTTATTTTTTTTATATTGGGAATTTTTTTTTAAATATAATGTTTAATTTTTTATATATTTTTTATTTGTTTTATTAGTTTATATAAACAAAATTGAACAATTCCTCACTATTAATCCCCTCACTATCAATCTCCTCACTAACAATTCCCTCACTATAAATTCCTTTTATTCTATCTCTCAAAATAAACGGGCCTCAAAGTGTAAGAGAATTTTGCAAGCGATGCGTGGATGTCACAAGGTAGAACATAATAGGATATATATATCTATCTAGGGCGGTGGGAAATGGAAAATGTGGTCCAACCTCTAAATAATTTAAAAAATGAGCTGTCTATTTTTATATTTATAATATTTCTTAAATTTTTTGTAGACAAATTTAATAAAATCATGAGTTATGATTATTAGGTCAATTTGATTTTTTTTTTCTCCATAGATGATCTATACTCATAGTTGAACAAAATAAACAGATTAGATCGTTGAAGTGAGACCTATAGTGGATTCCATGAGGCCCAACAATAACTTTGATAGAGAAATTCATCCCTTATGAAGAACTCTCTATTGATGGCGTGATATTTCCATAACTATCACTATTATTGTCATTATTGTTGTTTTAAAAAGTATTTCAAAATAAAATTAGATACATGTTAAAAAGTAAATTTCGAAGGATAAATCCAAAAGCCTATTTTTTATTTTTTGACAGTAGATAGAAAATTTTATTAGACCACCAAGGTCAACCAAGATGAAAATATTGGAGAGCTCTAGATGGGTAAAACCATCTTTCCACTCCTCTCAAACTTGATGCATGAAGGCTCCTTTCTTAGCTCATGCAATACTTTTCCAATAATTTGACCAAATCAAACATTAATAGGTGCCTATTATTTTCCTTTTTGTGAACTTGTACAACCGTTATTTGACTTTAATAGGTTACCCTAATGACCATGCATGACATTCCCATGACTATTTTTAATGGTAACTTTTCCCAACCTTTGCCTACAAAAAACCATAAAATCGTATCCTTCCATAATCACAAAGATCGAATCAAAATGGCTCTCTCCAAGATTTCACTAGCCATTGTTTCATTTGTGGCCTTGACCATGGCTCGTCTCTCCCAAGCCCAAAGCTCTCCACAAGACTTCCTTGCTGCTCACAATGCCGCTAGAGCACAAATCAGAGTCAAGCCTCTTACATGGAACAACACTGTAGCCGCCTATGCCGAAAACTATGCCAAATTGAGGAGTGCTGACTGCAACTTGGAACATTCAAATGGTCCATATGGCGAAAACATTGCAGAGAGTTCGGGCGAACTTACAGCGGTGCATGCGGTGAAGCTGTGGGTAGATGAGAAGCCAAAGTATTCCTACGGCTTGAATGCATGTATTGGTGAAGCTGCTGGTTGCCTGCATTACACTCAAGTTGTTTGGCGCAACACTGCTCAAATCGGCTGTGCTAGAGTTCAATGCCAGAATAAATGGTGGTTTGTCACTTGCAACTATTATCCACCGGGAAATTATGTGGGTCAACGTCCTTATTAGGATGCTTTTCTACCTAGAAATATGACGTTCTAGTGTCAATTGCTTGTGAGCCTTATGTTTCATAATCATGTTGTGATTGATGAATATGAAATATATATATATATATATATAACTGGCATCTTCCATGGAATGGAAGCTGTTGTTATTCTTTGATTAAATGTTTAAAGCTATTCATGCATTTTGGTTGAATGAACTGGTTGATGTCCAGTATGATAGTATTGTGTAACATATATTGGTTCAATTCATTTCCTGCACCATTAGGCCATCTCCAACCGTTCACCAAATCCATCATCAAATTCAACTTTGGTAAAAAAGAGGTACTTTTTGTGCTCCAATGGTTTCACCAAAACGGTATCAAATTGAGAAAATATCAAACATTTCACCAAGCTGAGGATGGCTTGCACCTTTCAGCAATTTCACCCTCAGACAGATAGGCAATCAAAGAGAACTATTCAAACCCTTGAGGATATGTTGAGGGCTTGTGCCTTGGAGTGGAGAGGTAATTGGGATAATTATTTGCCGCTCATGGAGTTTGCCTATAATAATAGTTATCATTCTAGTTTGGGAGTAGCTCCTTATGAGGCTTTGTATGGAAGGAAGTGTAGGTCTCCTTTGTGTTGGTATGAGGTTGGTGAAAGGCAAATGTTGGGACCTGATTTGGTGGAGGATGCTACACGGAAAATTATCACCATCAGAGAGAGATTATTGACTGCTCAGAGTAGACAAAAAAGTTATGCTGATCATCGTAGAAAAGACTTAGAGTTTCATGTGGGGGATATGGTATTCTTGAAAGTATCACCATGGAAAGGAGTGATCAGGTTTGGAAAGAAAGGAAAGTTGAGTCCTAGATACATTGGTCCATTTGAGGTATTGGAAAAGGTTGGTGAGGTTGCGTACCGTGTTGCTCTACCCCCTAGGTTGGCAGGAGTGCATAATGTGTTTCATGTGTCTATGTTGAGGAAATATGTGCATAGTCCGTCACATGTGATAGATTATGAGCTGCTTCAAATTGGAGAGGGTTTTTCATACAAGGAGATGCATGTTCAGATCTTGGATTCGAAAGAGAAAATCTTGCTTACAAAGGCCATTACATTGGTTATGGTACTGTGGCGAAACCATCTAGTTGAAGAGTCGACTTAGGAATGCGAGGACGAGATGCGCAAGAAGTACCCACATCTATTCTCATGATTTACTCAGGTGAGTTTCGAGGACGAAACTTTCTTTTAGGAGGGGAGAATGTGAGAACCCGAATATAAAAATTAAGTAAATAATTAAATAATAATATTACAATCTCAAATATTTTGGTGGTGAATTCTAAGGTGCAAATTAAATATTATTGGAGGATCTTTTAATTAATTTTAAACCTAAAATAAATTTATGGTGAAAGTCTTCAATTTAAAGGCAAGATTTATTATTTAAAAAAAATAAAAATAAATAAATAAAATAAAATTAAGTGTCAAATAAAATAGTGTAAATCAAGAAAATGGACTTTATGGAATAAAACTATACATACATGGGACTAAATGGGTTAAAAAATTCCTTCATGGACTTCTTGGGTTAAAACATTTCTAAATTGGACTTATCAATAAAAATCCCATTTTTATATATAATTTGTAAGTTATGCCTTACCTCTACTTTATTTAAAAAAAAAAAATACCATATCAATGTACCCATCTCAGAAGGAGAAAATTTCGAGTCATTAACTAGAGCTTTGTGAGGGAAGCTTTGAGGGGCTCCCTCCTAAATAAGATTAGTAGCTTCAAGAGAATCAGTTTCGATGACCATCATTGGAAAAATCTCTACTCACTTCGTGGTATTTATTGTGTTTGGTTTCATATTTTCATAATCTATTTTTTTTTTAAATTAAAAATTAATTTGGTTGAAATTAACACCAAAAAGATATTTTAAAATTTTTAAAAATCATTTTTGCGCCAACAAAAAATGAAATGAAACCCTGGTGGGACACAAAGTTGGAACAAGAGATCGGAAGCTGTGATGGTATATGCTTTTGGAGTACATATAATATATTATCAACAAGTCTACATATGCCGAACCGATCATAGAATCAATCATATAAAATAATTCTCGTCATATATATTAAAAGGTGGGGCTCATCATTAAAACTATAGTTTCATTCAGATTGCTCCACTTATATTCTATATGGTTAATTCTATAGCTGATTTTGTATCAATAAACATGAACTTAACTTATTGATATATTATATAGCATGGTTTCATTTCATTTTCTTCGTTTCTTTCACTTGTTGCAAGAACGGTATCAAATTGAGAAAATATTAAACATTTCACCAAACTGAGGATGGCTTGCACCTTTCAGCAATTTACTGTGCATAGCCGTTGAGTTGGATCTACCAGACGATCGGCCGGATGTCTGGCCGGATGTTCCCCTGGATGACTGTTGTACGACAAAAATTTGTAAAAATTTACTTTGGGTCGACCACCTCAGCATCTTTTTTAACTCTATTTCCATTTTTCCCTGAATCCATTTCCATTTTTCACTGATTGCTCATATAATTCATTATTACCCACAGCTGATGTTATTTTAAGGAGTGCATTATCCTATTTAGGGATATAAATGAACAAATTGAGTCGAGTTAAATAGTCAATTATTTAAGTTTAATTTAAAAATATAATACTTTTACTTAAAGGAGCTTTACTTGAGTTCACCAGTTGAGCTCGAGTAATTAACTTAGGTTTTTATAGTGTTTATTGAGTGTAGTTCAAGCCAAGCACAAAAATTTGCTCAACTACCGTTTGATTCGTTTTACGATCATACTATTATTTTTATTTTTTTTTAAAAAAAATTTAATGCTTGGTAAGAATCAAATCCAAAAAGATAACTCCAAAATCTTATGATTTTAATGACTACTAATTCCATATCTCCTTTTTTATGTCATGACAACACTTATATTATCAATATA